TAATAATAATCCTTCATCACCTTTACCTCAGCACTTCCATGTTCTTTCATTTTCTCATTATTAGCTGAAAATTTTGCATCAGATAAATAAACCATAGAATAGACAGGTGGCTGATTGAATCAGTCAATATTTACCACTTTTTAAAAAATCTATACTGCCTCTGCTCACTGAACCACAACGTAAGAAGATGCAGCAGCAGCAGCAGCTGCTACAGCCAGCTCATTGTAGCCCACAATTGATTTTTTAAATCATCTCAATAAGAGCAGGTTCAAAGAAAACAGCTCCAGTTTTCACTCATATGATCTTTGCTGACAGTTCAACAGAAGCAGGACAAATCTGACTGACAGCTGAAGCTCCGGCCCTGAAGTCATTTCTATTAAAAGTCTGAACTGAGCGATCATCCTTTACGGAGCGAGGATCAATATTTGTCTTTGATCGTGATACTTTGAGGTCAGACGGTTGAATGACATCTATTAAAAACCTAATTATGGCTCATAATCATGACTTACAGACAGCAGGACTGGCTTCCATGGTGGCTACACTCATGAAATCTGGTTCTTCTTTTATAGTTTTTTGGCTCCCTCAGTTCTGGAAACATCTCCACCCTGAATGAAAACAATGACGAACAGCTAATAATTGACCCAGTTTTCAGACGTGCTGATGAGAAAGCTCTGGGTCTAAGCCTGTAAAACTGTAGCGATGGGAGCTGGTGAAGCCACAGGAATCAAACTGTTGACTGATTGAACAATTAGCGGGTTTCAGGGTCGACGTTCTGTTAATTGTGCCGTGTGCAGCCAGGTCCGAACAAAAGAAGAGGATGTTTGTCTTGTCAGTCGGCCAAAGGGTCAGAAAATCCTGCTCCGGCCCAGTTGAGAGTCCACGTTAGACGCATTATGAATTCCTTCAGTCAGGTTTGTGTTAAACAACCTTCGTTTGGCTGATTGGTAAAAACAAAGAGGATTTCAGAAGCAAACAAGCGTCTGATCGTTACTCACCAGGCAGTCTGTTCATGTTGACACCCTGTGCCGACAGGCCGATGCCCATGTACCTGCAGAGAGACGAAAACATGATCAAACCATTACTTGGACATTTTTAAGTTGATTTTGATAAATGTGAGACAGAAGATGTGAACGAGGAGTGGAACATGAAGTGTGTCTGTGAGCACAGAAGCTCAGAGGTCGATGGGATAAATCTTGTTCCAGCAGGAAGTGAATTTGAATTGTTCAGATTAAATCTGAATGTACATAATTTGAAATTGAATGCATTGGTTTGAAAACAAATTTCACTAAATTGAAACTGAATTTAATGGTTTGAATATGAATTAATTTGCTTTGAAACTGTATTTTGGTTAATTAAAAATTCAGTTTGACTACTTTCACTTTCAGTTCCATAATTCAGATTTTTGTGTCACATCCTGGTCCTTGAGAAA